ACTTTTATAGACTATCTGCTCAATAATATATTTCAATGAAATTTGGTAGGTAGATAAAAAATATATGTAAAAAACTATCTGGGTAGGTTGCCAACTATCTGGAGCATTTCTTTGACAATAATTTAATGTGAGAACAACAACCAAGTTTTTAATACAAATAAAAGCAATACAAAAATTACCAACCACACATAAATGTTATATATTAATCAAGTTTAACTATTCTTTTTTTCAAAAATAATCTAAGTTTAGTAATGTTTCTAAACAGAAACGCCACAAAAAAACGTTCGCCTGACGTTACCTAAAAAAAGTTCAAAAACCTAGCACAAAATTTTAGTACAAATTTCGGTTCCGTAAAACACGTATTTCCGCGTACCTATATATATATATATATATATATATATATATATATTATATATATATATATATATATATATATATATATATATATATATATATATATATATATATATATATATATATATATATATATATATATATATATATATATATATATAGATATATATATATATATATATATATATATATATATATATATATATATATATAAATATATATATATATATATATATATATATATATATATATATACATATATATATATATATATATATATATATATATATATATATATATATATATATATATGTATATACATAATATATATATATATATAATATATATATATATATATATATATATATATATATATATATATATATGTATATATACATACATACATACATACATACATATATATATATATATATATATATATATATATATATATATATATATATATATATATATATATTATATATATATATATACATATATATATAATATAAATATGTATATATATATATATATATATATATATATATATATATATATATATATATATATATATAGTATATATATATATATATATATTATATATATATATAATATATATATATATATATATATATATATATATATATATATATATAAGAAAAACATATATAATATATATTTTATATTTATATAATATATCAAGTAATCTCTACTTGTAATCCACACACATGAAATAATACGGTCATAAAGAAATATCCATTTAATATTTACCTTACTAAATGCATCACAAGTTAATGTATTATTGTTAAATTGTCAAATTCAAAACCTTATAAAAAGGCAACAGATGGCCTAATTTATTAGCATGTGTGACTTTACTTGTTTTTATTGGGCTAATAAGTAACTTATTAAGTCTTTACTTGTTATTTGTTAAGCTAATAAAAAATATTTTAAGTCACGCATGCGTGTTTTAGTTCTCATATTGCAATTACGAACGGTCGAACTCGTAATATAGACGTTGAAATAATGTGGAATCAACGTCGATTTTATTTGATAGTTTTAAACAAATTTTTCAACGTTGATACAACGTTGATTTTTGGTTATACGACGTCGCGACTAAAAATCAACTGTAAATCAACGTCGAAATAACGTCGTGTGCCCACTGGGAAGTATTTTATTGATTTTTTTATTACATTACTTCTAATATTATCAATTCCTACACTTTTGTTTTGTTTTAAAAGATTTACTGCATCTATAAGTTCATTTTCAGTAATTTCATAAATATCTATTTTAGAGGTCTTTTTAGGAGTAAGATATGTCTCAAAGTTTACTTTAGTGGTTTCTATTTTTGACGCTAGAGTGGAACCTACACTTACAAAATATTGATTAAGTGTTTCGGCAATTAAAGATTTATTTGTAATAACTTTATTATCAATTGTTAGATTTATAGGAAGAATATTTCTGTCAGTTTGTTTCGTACCAATTACTTCCTTAATAATGTTCCAAGTATTGTGCCGATCATATTTATGTTTAATTAATTGCTCGGTATTGTACAACTTCTTGGACTTTTTAATAACCATCTCAAAAATACGTTTATAATTTTTGTAATTGGTTTCATTGTTGAAAGTTTTTTTTTTGAGAAATTTATTATATAGTCGTTGCTTTTTTTTTGACGACTTAATAATTCACGGAGTTATCCATGGATTTGATAATCTCTTCTTTTTCACACATTTTGTAATTAATGGAAACGCTGTATTATAAAGTTGTTGTAATTTATCTAGAAACTTATTGTATGCCTTATTTGTGTGTACAATATCAAGGAGGTTATCCCAGTTTAAATCTGCTAGAAGACTATTAAAATTTTCAATGGATTTTTCATCTATTTGTCGTGTAGTTTTTTCAATTTTTTTTGCATAGTTATTATCGCATTTTTGTGAGATAAGAAATATAGGGAAGTGGTCTTAAATGTCGCATTTAAATACACCCGTTTTTATTTTTGATTTAAATTCGTTGGTTACTATTTGGTCTATAACAGTTGCGCTTTCTCTAGTTATTCTTGTGGGTTTATTAATTAGTGGAATATAGCCTTTCTGATAAACGACGTTATAGAAATTATTTATTTTTGTATTTGAATGACGCATGTTCATGTCCAGGTTAAAATCACCTACAAAAGCTTTTATTTTTGCTTAACTTATTTTTAATTATGTTTTTAATATAATTTTCGAATTGTTTTATTGAACCGGAAGGTGGTCTGTATAAAACGTGGATGATAATGTTTTTTGTGGTTTTATTTATTATTTCCACGCACAGTGATTCACAATCATTAGTGGTTGAACACAAATCTTTTCTTAGTTAGTATACTAAAGTATTGCTTATAAATACACACAAACCCCTCCTTTCTTCCCAGATTCTCTAAATTGATGAATCACTTTAAAATTTGGCAGCTGAAAATTTGTATTTGACATAATATATTCATCAGTACACCAACTTTCGCTGAGACTAATAATTTTAAAATTGAATTTAATCTCGCATAAAAATTGTTTAAATGATTCAAAATTTTTTGAAATGCTCCTAATGTTTAAATGCAAAATTGAAAATGAATTTACATCTATTCCTTGCATTATGTTTGCAGATTTAGGGTTATAATATAAAGTATTAATATTTTGAAAATCTTTATTATTACTATAAAAATTAATATCCGGGTCAGAAGTTTTATCTATAAGTATCCTATTTTTATTTTGTAATGAATTAAATTCTAAGTTAATTGAATCATTATTATCATTCATAAGAAGGGTGTTTTTTTTTTTAAAAAAAACTGTTAAAAAGAGTAAAAAATAGAAAAAAAATAAAAAATAAATAAAGTAATTAAGCACTCGCTTGCTTTTTCCTAAATTCTCTAACTATAAGTTTATCATATTTTATAATAGAATATTTACCATTTTTTCTATACGTCTTCATTTCTTCTGAGAGTTTTTTTCTTATGATTGTTGTTTCGAAAAAGAAGTCTTCGTTAATGTATATTCCTGTTCCTTTAAGCCGATTTGATGAATTTAAAACTTTTATTTTGTCTTTGTAATGTAGTATTTTAACTACAATTGTTCGAGTTTTACTTTCTTCTTTTTTTCCAATTCTATGAGCCCTCTCGATATCAATGTTTTTAATGTTTAACACGTTTTCAAATAGGGTTTGTAACTTTTTTTCGGTTTCATCCCAGATTTCTTGATCGTTTTCAGGAAGCCCGTCGATGCGAAGATTATTTCTTCTGAGCCTATCTTCTAGTTGTCGTAATTTATTTTTTTCCTCTTCACCTACACTGTTTTTGTTTTTAATTTTCTTTTCTAAATCACATACTTTTTTTATCTAGGATATCCTGAGTAACTGTTAGACTTTCTTCGATCTCTTTATTTGTCTTTTCGAGTATTCTTACTCTTTCGGTAATTTCTTTAAGTTTAGTGTTAATCTTTTCGTTTTCTTTTTTTAATGAGTCGCAAGTTTGTTTTGATTTATGTATTTCATCAAGTAACTCATTGATTTTATCATTAGTTATTTTTAAATTACGACTAATAAGCTTCAAAATATCTTTCTGCTGCTTTGAAAACATTTCATAAAAAATATCGCGACCAACATTTGTTGATATTTGCGTTTCATCTATTTTCCCCGTTTCGTTAGATTTCTTTCGATCCATGATATTATTTTACTCCGTTGAATAAACTCAATAAAAAATAAATTTAAAAAGAAAAAAAAAATATATATATATATGATCATAAATTTCTTCTTATATAACACGTCTGCTCGCCGTAAAAACTTTGTTGCTTATTGACACAAATACTTAAAAAAAGTTTAGATGTGTTTTCGGTAATATCTTATTACACAGGGACTTAAAAGTTTCAGTATGTGTTTTTTTCCGTGTCAGTATGTGTTTTTTTCCGTAATAAAGTAAAATTAATAATAATTTCCGTAATAAAGTAAAATTAAGCAGATGTGTTCTTTTCAGATCATTTTATTTAGAGCATAAAGCTTAGTTCATACTTACATATATAAAAGTTCATACTTATATATATAAAAGTTCATACTTATATATATAAAAAAATCTTTATTATATGTTTTAATAATGCTTATGTAAATAAGAAAGTTTTATCATTCATAAATATTACAAAAAATTGATTAACTAATGATATTTCGCTTCTATATATATAGTTGTCATAGGTATATCTATATCAGTTTGTTTGTTATACTTTTTTATATCAATATTTCTATGTATCTTATGTGTATTTTTACAAAATTGTTAATAAGTTAACATAATTTTAAAAATATGATAATCAATAACATTTATACAATTTTAAATACAAATGAAATCTTTAAAATAATAGTAAACTGATAATATTGAGTGGTTTTAAAATTGTAGGTATTTTTATAGCAAAGATAAACTCGTTTCTCCATCAATTCAACTAATTCCATGCATATCTCTTGAGGTACCTTTAACCAGTACTCATTCAAAAAATGCTTTAAGTGCTTAGGTGATTGTATTCGGAGATAAGTAAGTTGATTGTCAATCCAAGACCAAATATTTCCAATTGGGTTGTGATCTGGTGATCTAGGGCACCAAGGGATCACATTATTCTATTTCTGCAAGTAATATTCTTTGATTGATTTAGCTCTATGAGCTGGAGCCCAGTCTTGTTGAAAGATGAATTGCTTGCTTCTACGATGCAACTGTCTGATTGATGGAATTAAACACGTTTCTACCCAGCGGGCACAGACGTGAATCAAACGTCTTACGGACGTCTTAACTAGGTCGCGACGTCTCAGACCAAATTAGGACGTCCTAAAGACGTCTGGTGAAGACGTCTTTGTTAGGACGTCCTTGTGACGTTAATATAAAGACGATATCAGGACTTGAATATTTAGACGTCCTATTGACGTCGCTAAGACCTACATAAGACGTCCTAATTACCTTAAAAATAAGTAAAAAAATTAATACTATCAACTTAGCGCATACAATATTATGCGCAAACTCGGTTATATAAATATGTCTACTTGTTTTGGTTGATTATTTTAAGACTATTATTTTGTTTAGTTATTTATCGTTTAAAGATATTTTTTAATTTTCTATATTCTATACTCTATGATCTATAAACTATAATCGATACAATATTTAAAAAAAAGAGTAACTAAATTACAAGTATAATAAGGGAATTTTAACAAAAGACATCAAAATTGCACCAAGACTTTTCACTTTGTGTTTTATAGAATAGTATTGATATTTTTGTGTGTCTGTGTTATATATAAATTAATATATACATATTAATTTATATATATATATATATATATATATATATATATATATATATATATATATATATATATATATATATATATATATATATATATATATATATATATATATAATATATATATATATATATATATATATATATATATATATATATATATATATATGCAAAGATTTGTAATATCTTGGCTGTAGAAATAGGTAAATGGATAAATAAATTGTATATATTTTGTTGTTCCTGTGTTGTTTCATTCCATTTTATGATTTTTTCATCATGGGTTGTATAAATAATTATTAAGATTATTACGTATGTTGACACCTTGTTACTGTGTTGTTTCATTTAATTTGATGTATAATTATATATATATACATGATTTATACATTATATTATAATGTTTATATGATGCATACATATTCATTATATACATATATATATATATATATATATATATATATATATGTATGTATAAATATGTAGAAGATATATATATATATATATATATATATATATATATATATATATATTTATCTTTATATTTACATTTATCTATATATTTACACTTT